TGTTTTGCGGCTATCGCCCTTCCTAAGTAGTTAGATACGGCCAAAGGAAATAGCTAATAGTAAAATTGTTTTTTTTTTTTTAATATATCCGTTGAATTTTGCATGTTTTCGAAGACCACAATTTTTGGCCAATTTTTTTAAGGGCAAGGAGTGATTTGATTGTGTCTCAGTGGCAATATTTTTCCTTGAGCTTTCAAACACATTTTGTTTCATATCAAAATATTGCTTCTTCGAAAGCGCTACGATTAATTGGCATTAAATGTTAAATAAGCACACTGTTCTCCTTCGAGTTAGCTCAAATATCTTATTTTTCAGTCGAGAAATATAATTTTGAAATTTTAAAATTACTTAGGTTTATTTTTCTCAAAAACATATGACTCAAAGCATATGATTTATAAAAATATAATTCATTTATAAACCATATATAATATAATAAAATAAAATGTCTTACATACTTGGGCGTACAAAATTTTTCATTCATATTTCCGATTCATATTTAAATGCGATTCATAATTGATGCTTTGAATACCACTGGTGCTATTTTTTCTCAGAAAATGTCCCAAATCGTGTAATAAGGCATATCTAAAGTCTAACCGCTTGACTATTTCGAGACAGTTCGAAGCTTGAACTGCCACTCTCAGACCAATGTGCAAACCTGATCCTCTACGCGCATTGGCCATTTTATCAACAACTGCTTTTTTATATGTATATGCGATAGATATGCAAAACAATGAATGCAGCACTTGAAGAGTATGTAGAAGTAAACATGCGTGGATGCTGGCAGGCCATTGAAGGGGGTGTGTATACAGTTCGATTCCGATTGGACAGCCCTTGAAAGTAAACTGCCAAAATCAAAACTAAATTGTATATTAAACGGCTGAATTGTATGGCGGAAGGAGTGCTAAGAAGAAGAAGTTTAGTAAAGGCCATATCGCCGAACTTATCTTCCCTTGAATTTGGCGTGTCGTAGTCTGCCGTGTTTCTTTCTTATTTTTCGGCTGAAGAGCGATAATACATATGACATATATACAAGTGGTGCTTCGCGAATAAGTACTAACCAACACACAAGCATAGCACTCGCCTATGTGGCGTCCCCTGGTGACCTGTCAACATTTACAAATTTATGGCTATCTCGAAATTTGTATACGTGGTCAAGCTCAGCTGAAGCAGTCCAAGTAGCGGCAGTTGAATTCTTTTCGCTTTTTATTACTGTTGGATAATGTGACGATTGGGCAGCCAAGCGGCCAAGTAGGCAGGCAAGCAGGAAAGCGGACGCTTAAACCAGCTCCAAAATGTACTAGTTAGTAATGTGGCAAATGGTTAAACGATGCCCAAAGCAATGAGGCAAAGATTCTATCTCTTATGTAGACACAAGTGTGTGTTGGCCCAATCAGAAAAGCAGGAGCGTTTATAAATACCCGCCTTCATGAACGGATTTTTCAATAAGACCTCCTATTTGGAAGTTTTATTAGAAGATTGCAAACGAGAAGGTAAATTTCAATGCCAGCGAAAACCCAATAAGTATCTTTTAATAGCCTTGCCAAGGCCACCAAAGCCAAATAAAAGAAAAAAATCAAAGTAGACGCATCGGTGTATGTTTACTGCAAAGTTAAGTTCAAACTGTTTCATGTAAATTTGAATCAGAAGGCCTGGAAACTCTGGCCATTCCATACAAAAGAAAGGGGAGCAAATAATCGAACAGGGAAGTCCTATCGCTTCAAAAGATCCGAAATAAGAGCTGCCAGAAGGCCTCATAGTTTCTAATTTTTCCGACTGGGAATGTTGATATGTACCTACTACATCCATGAATATGAATTTATACACAGAAGGAGGAGAATATTGATGGTGCCAAATGTCGAAAAGTTGAAATGAATAACTCATTCAAAGCCAGACAGGCACGTACAGGCAACCATTCAGATTAAGAATCGAAGGAGGACATGCATTAAATAATAGCTTACTACTGAAAAATGTTTATTTGTAGGTGAAGTTTAATGTATAAAATAAGTAAGAAATTCGTTCGATAGTAAAACAAATTCTGGAAACAAAATAAGGTCATATATTGCACACTTAAATATATATTCTCATATGTGTGTGCGAATATTTAAGTTTAATATCGACTATATTGTTTTCACTTAAGCGAGTTAGGTTCTTAGATGTGCCCATCATTTTCTTACATTTCAATTTCGTCCAAACAATGGCTGGTTCGCAGGGTTAGGACCCGACAGCCAGTGAATATGCCTGAAGAGACTCGGATGATTACCCCCTCAACGTTGACGATTATCGGAAACGAAGCGAGGAGTACTATTTCTGGTTATGCGTCTGGTCTGCGTTATGGTCTGTCGTCACCGCGACATTAACTTAACATAGATGCCACGATGGGATTTGTGGTTAGGCACAGACTCCAATAGTTTGTTTACAGGTTCACAGTCCGCATAAAGCCAAATTCAACAAAATCTGCCCAATTTATGTACTCGCTACGACACCTCATAATCGCCTTAAGATAAATGAGCGGCGCGATTCTATCTCCCAATAGCTTCGTACCCCTGCGGAATAGGGAATCCCAATGTACTTTGCCCCCCATTCACATAAAGGGAGATCCCGCTGTGTGCCCAATCACCGCCGAATAAGCCTTTATAACATCCAAGGTCCTATTGACGCTACTCTCTGAAAGACTGGAACCCTGCTTGAACTAATTGATTGGGCCTTTCCACAAGATTTTCACAGTGTGGGAAAAGCGCTCTATAAGCAAGTTGAAGCACACCAATCCTTTCGTCGATTTTAAAGCCGCTTTTGATAGTACGAAGAACAGAATGACGCTGGACACAACCATCAGCTTCTTCCAAATTGGCGGCTCTTTGCTATTTTTAAAGTTTATGGTGGAATTTCAATAATGAGCGCAATAAGAACTGCCTGTTTTATAAGCGATTTCACTTCCCCTTTAAATATGGACACAGGATTTGTTTAATTTTTTTTTATAATATATCCGACCTTATTTCAATGCCTAAGGATTTGGGAATATTAAAATCTATGCGCTTTCTTCTTTTTAGTTTTAGTAATTAACATCCAAATGCGAGGCAGATGCATAAGTATTCACGAAATTCTTCTTTTTTTTTGTTATGTTGTTGGTTTATTAGCAAAAGCAAATAGTCCCCTATTTTTGGAAAACGCTTTCGTGTGGCTGCCTCGGCTGGCTTCGCAGTAGCGCATCCTATTAACCCAGTTTTCCAAGACCTTAGTGACGGTTTATGGCTCTATATTATGGCCTGAAAGCCTAACGGCCTCAAATCGCTGCTCCGGGGTTATTTTCTCTGAGATGATGCACGGGAAGAAGGAAACTCTCACTTACTAAAACCACTCTGTCCATGGAACTGTCATTCAAGATATTACCTCACAGGTTTGGTTGGCCCACAGGCTCCTTACATATTATGACGGCTCCTTAGATGTTCAGCTCGTCTTAAATCTATATAAATGCGTGCGATATGAGTACACATCTAACGCCACTTCCCACTTGACGCTAACATATAATCTAGTATTTCATTGTCCTGTAGTATGTTTCGTACCACGGGAGCAAGAGAACATTATGTGTTCCGCGTTTTCCCTTATTCCTGTGCCCCTCGGATAGTACGGGGAGTCGTTCTGCCCAAATCTATTGAGCTACTCACGATAAGGACCATGACCCAATAGAAACTTGGTGAGATGAAAACAAGATTCTTCATGAAACTTGCTCAACCATTTTTCAACATTGGAGATGCGGGTCAACCTCCCAGATCACCTTTGAACAACGACTTTCTTCTGGTGCTAGTATATTTCGCGTTAAACTATCGTTGTTCTCAGGCAGTCGATTATATATTATTTTCATTTCTTGTGCTACAATGTCTACTGGAACCAGTAGAGCGAATACAAAGGACGCTTCATCATAAATTGTGCAGACTTAGCAAACAGCGCTCAGTGCCCTAAATCGATAAACAGTTGTTAGTTCCTTTGCGTAATATTTTAACTTCATTGCTTCATTCATATTTTCATCTATACAGTAATCGTTATTGTTATCGAAAGAATAATTTATATTGTTATCGATATAATAATCGCCATTGTTATCGATATAATGATCGATACATTAATCGATTTTTAAATCATTATATTTTTCGATATGTTTATCGATTATATCGGGATGTTATAGGTATATTTATCGACAGTGTTATCGATATCACATCACATTTAGTCACATGATATTATATCTTGGCATCGCATGACATTTCATCACTTGATATTACATCACATAATATGATATCACATCACATGATATGATACCACATAACATGATATCATATGACATTATTTGACATCAACTGACATGACATCCTATGACATGACCTCACATGATATGACATCACATGATATGACATCACATGACATGGTATCACATGATATGAGGTCGTATGACGTTACATTACATGATATGAGGTCATATGACGTGACATCACATGATACAACAGCACATTCTATCACATCACATCGCATCGCATTACCTGACATCACATCATATAACAACTTATCACATCATCGCAAGAGAGTACTTTGGATTATATACTCAGTATCGATAATTTTAGGAATCCGGTACTGTCAATCCTTTAGAGAATCCAGTTCTGAATACTTTTGGTATCTATCCTGCCCAACTGAAACTATGTAGTAAAAAATGTGTATGCAAAAACCTTGGGATCTGCTCTGTATCGCGACTCGAAACTTAATGCGATTTCAAAGGAGACACGAACTAATCCAAATTGATAGTGCCAAGTATTCGAATACGAACGACTTGCTTTTCGACCCCCTTGTTTCAAACCAGGTATGTATTTTTTACAAAATTCTAGAGCTTAACTTTTCCATAAAATGATCTACCAAGAGTCTCACTTTGCAATAACAAATCAATTAACTCAAATTTTTCTAATTACTCGCAAATAACCTTTAAAATTTATAAATTAAATAAAAACTCGCAGGCCACTTACCTTCAACACCAACGCCAATTGACAGCTACAATATTAACAAAACAGCGATGTGAAGTAAATAATAATCCTGGCTGTGCTTCGAAGCCGTCACAACAATTCCGGCGTTGCTATCGGGCAACACTGTGCAACAACGACGACGTGCTGCCACTGTTGCGTGACTTGTTTACAACACGACAGCTGTTTTGACCGGCAACAGAAATGCATTGCTGCCACCGGTGCTGGCGTACTGCTCTTGCTGTTGCATATGCTCCTTCTGTTCCTTTGATTTGTGTTAGCCATTTTCAATTTCGATTTCGATTTCATACTGCCGTGACCACAACAAAAAATCAGCAATCATTCGACCAAACGAGCGCTCGACCAGCCGACGAACGAAGCGCACGAGGTGGCACTTGGCAAGCAAGCTAGCTTAAGTAGCCCAAGAACGCTGAACTTGAACTTGCATTTTGACGGACAGGTTTGCGGCAGCGTTGCACGAGACGACGAACGCGTACGGGAAATTCAACCTTTGCACTACAGTTTGTTTGCTACGAATTTTTTGCCTTTTTATTTCGCTTCGTTACTTCCTTTTCGTTTATATTTTTCACAATTGTTTTTTAATTTTTACTTTTGTATTTTTGTGAGCTTATTTTCTTCGAGCACGATTAATTTGCGTGCTTTCAACGATGGCAGCAGAATTGTGATGCTTCGGACGATGAGTGGCATAGTGTGGCTCGAGATTTATATGACGCTTAACTGTACGTTTATGCTTCACTATTGTGCAACAATCACTCGTTCATTCTGCGTTTGTGTGTTTTCGCGTGTGCCTTTATATAGCTCGAGACGTGTTGCGGCCCCTAAAACAACGCTGAACTAAACTAGGATAAGCGAACCTTGTACTTGAGCTACTTGCTGCATGCGACAAGGACATGTAACGTTGTATTCATGGTTGCGACTGCAGCGCGAGGTTAGAGAATTTGGAGGCGGCCACGTTGGGTGAACGCGACGCGGTTGAAATTTAAAAAAATCGCATGAATATCTTTAGCTTTTGTAAAGTCCTTGCGGCATAAATTTGCGCCAGTTGAAATTTGTATGAGCGTCTTGATACTTTCAGCTCAATTTATCACTTCGTATTTTATTGCTTGTTCTGCCGCGTTTCGTTGCAAGATACTTGCGGCACGTGCGCACACACACACACACACACGCACTTCTGATTTTGTGTTTTACAGTTGTATAATAAAATATTTCTGGTTTCAACTTGTATTTGTGTTGCTTGCAAGCCGGCGGCAAGTATGTTGCATAATACATATTTGTTGACTATTATTTATGTTTATGATTTTGTTTCTATCTTCAATGCTGCTGAGAAGTTTCAAGTGTGGTCCTTGTTGCATGTTCGCTCTTTCGCAGCGCATCTTCTGTAGTGGACCTGCTGACATTTTCACTTAAGCATCCTATAAGTGCGATTGTTGACTTCCTTCTTGCGTCGACATCTCCTGCTGACTGGCAGTCTAGCGTTGGTACTTATGCGTTTTACTTTGGGCGTCCATATCCTGCTGATGTTGCTTCTGTTGCTGCTTATGCAACTGTAAATAAAAATTTGAGAAGCGGAAAAGTTTAAGTTAGAAATTGTAAACAACTTTTTGATAAGTTCTTGTGTCATAGTTTCTTGATATTATCGTTTGCTTTTATTGTTATGTACTTGTGTTGTAGTTCTTGTTGTAGTAAGTTGACTATGTCCTTTTCATAGCTGGAAGAATTTGTCCCTCATTCTGTCCGATTTGTCGGGGGTTTTTATCACAAAGTTATGAGAAATAATGCAAATAAGTTGCAAGACACGGACGTTGCCGCTTGGTTGACTTGGCTTAAAGGCAACAGTGGTCGGAGCCAACAGTGCAGGAGAAAAGAGGGCGGAGGATCTTAGCTTTTTTAGAAAAAATTAGTTGGAGTTATCTACGACCTCTGCAGGGAATGAATGAAACCGATGAAGTTACGGTGGTCAGCTATTTCTCAGCCTGTGCAGTTTTCTAATGCTAAAGGGAAAGTATTAGGGCCTGTCTAGTAGTCAGTTTTGAGCAGGCAGGCAGCTATAGAATAGAGGTCTACCACACCAGCCTTCCACATTTGAAAAGTCTCATCCGAAAAAGTAGCAGAAATAAGAGCCAAGTCGAGTTCAGAAGGACAGCAGTGGCTACAGAAACTCACGCTTCATCGCTAAGAAAATAAGGCACAAAAATCCATCGAGCCGTAAGTTAAAAAACAAAGAATATATGGAAAATTATGCGAAAAGAATAAAACAGTCAGCGCGCAATATAGAGATTAGAAGGTGGGCGTCGGGCGGCGGACGTATGGGCGCGGAAACACCAAAGTGACTAAGTAAACTTCAACGAACTTAAGCTGTCAAATGTTTCAATTAAGTTTGCTTAGCAGACTTCGAGTGTGGTATCGCAGGCGCTGCTACGGAATGCGTTTCTATCCGAATAAATATTTATGTACCTGCAAATGTATATGTGTATATATGTATGTATGTAAATCACCTTACTACTCCGCACCGCATCTCGATTGCTTTACTGGCCGCCCATTGTTTGTAGATTTGTACGCATTTCCTGCGATTTGGATTTACATTTCAATTTCCTGCGCGCGCGCGGATGAACAGATAAACGGTTGAACGGTTGAGTGGCAGCTAAGTGAGTATGTTTCGCTTCAGTGTGATTTTCGTGCAAAATTTCCTGCGTCCTATCCGTTTTCATAATCTGCAGGTAATAATTTCGGATGTGGCCAAAGTAAGTAGGGCACTTATGAGTATTTTTTGTTGTTGTAGGCATTGCTGCCCCTTTCACACACACACATTCGCTTTCACCTATTTTCTCAACAGTTTTTTAGGGAACCGGAAATTTTGCCAAACAAATTGCGCGTATATCCGGTTGCTCAAACCGCAGCATCGCTTACAAAACCATCGTATATATGTATGTATGTGCACACGTCAGTCAAGCACAAACAATAGCTGCTAAACTATTTGGGTCGCTTGTAATTGCCTGGTGCCTTTTGAACCTTAAAATTCCCTACCAAATATGATTGCAGCAACGCAAAATTGTTTGCTTTGTTGGGTCATTTAGTAGCACGCTTTTGCCTAGCTTTAGCTTCACAACTTTAGTGGCATGCTTATGTCACTTTAATTTTGCTTTGTTTGGTTTACCTTTAGCTTTGTTTTTAGGTTATTTACTACCTCGTTTGTACATTTCTGCAAAAGACGCCATTCAAAGTGGCATGCCACGCATACTTGATTTTCTGTGCCAGTGGCAACATACCTACTTTAGTGTTTGCTTTTCCATGCCACACATATTAATTGCGCTGCTTGTTTTCAGCCTGTTGGTTTTTAGTACCCCTTGTTGTTTGTAGTTGCTATGGTTGGTGTGCACATTTCAAATGGTAGTATCCCATTCGTCCTATTTTCCAACATTCAACTAGCGCAAAACGCTTTGTTTTTCTTTCCTTCATATTTATTATAGCTTCTCATGAAAGGTTCTGCTTAAGAAAAGGCTTAACAAACGCCAACTTGCGCTTTGGTTTGATAACAAAAAAGCTAAGTTACTTCACATTTTCCTGAAAAACTCAACACTAATAGCCTCCATCTCGAGCAGCTACCTTCAGAGCTCACGAAAAAAAAATGTCAAATCTAAAACAAAAGTCTCAGCTTAATTCGCCACAGGTTGCCATGTAATTGCTCAGGAAAAAGTGACGGAAACGCACACTTTGCCACTTAAGGAGTCGCATAAACACGACCTCAAATTTATTTATTTTTTTTTACCGACGGGGATTGCATTCCACAACTCCTCATTTGTCCACCTTTCTTCTTTCGTCTTTCGCTTTAATTCATTTCATTTCTAAAAATAAAAGTTGTCCCTACGGCTACTCCTCTCTGCTTCAATCGCACAACTATTCTTTAATCCAACCGCCAGCACAGTCACCTCTCAGTCCGTCGACCGTGCGTCCATGCGTCGACTGGCTTGCCCGTTTGTTAGTCACAAAAGTGTTGCTCGTTTTGTCAGTGGCAGTGGAGCAACTGTCGCCTCGCAAAGTGTCGTCCGCATTGGTTCATTGTCATGGGATGTTGACGGCGTTAACAACATCAAAAATACCGGCGATGGCTGCAGTCACTTCAGCTACATGGGTAGGAGGATGTTGGCGTTGATTTTATAAATGCATCCGGTGTTACAGCTGTGTACGTATTTATGTACTTTAGTGTTGTTCTCAGTTTTCTACATCTTTATTTCGGTAGAATGTATGTATGTATGTACCTATGCTGTTGCTCGACACTCTAATTTAAGAGTTGCTGAATTAGGACACCATAAAGCACGGCACCGGCTTTGATTTTTTTAGGTTGCGCAGAACGCAATGCTCTGGCTAATTTTATTATTGAAAACATTTTGAAAAACACATGCATTTACGAGCCATTACTTTTTAAGTGGTAGGGATTTCGTAAAAAAAATGATGTTATGAAATAAGCTAAGTCGTATTCGAGGAATTTTTTATTTTCTTTTTTTCTTCCGAGATATGATCTGTCAAAGCTCGAAATTTTTCGTCATTCCGACTGGTAATCTACTTTTTCAAATCGTTATATCTCGTGATCTGCTCCTCGTAGAGACTGCACATTAACGTCGTTTTAAAGCGAAAGAAACGGGCTTAATATTTCTTTATATAAGACGGTTATGATTTTACTAAAGCTAACATAGCTATTACCAGTTGAACTTTTCGAAGTTCATTTGCATAGCGAAGACCAGTAAATTAAGGATTTAAAATTACACCATCGTAATCCTTGTTTAGCCGCCCGCATTTTTAATTGTCCATTGCCACTGTCTACAGACATTTGAGCGAAGCTTGCAACATGCTGCATGCAACAATATATATGCATATATTTTTGTAGCGCTAGCTGCATATATTTATGTATGTATGTTTGTACAAACACCAACTTATTCCCCAATGTACCCTGCAGGGAATGCTACTAGTTGTGAACTAATCTTCTAACAGTTTGGTTTTCAGCCCAACTAGTTCACGTTCTATCCTTTTTCAATGTTAGCGACTGGTATTTTTAACATTGCGATGTCTTACGAGATGTCAATTGTCAGGCTATGCATCAGCATCTACTAGTAGAAATACTAGTAACATCATACCAGTGGATCAGATTGTCTGCCAATTCATCCCGCGTGAAAAGCATAAGTATGCCTTTTTGCTCGGGGCGCTCCAACAGTCGCAATGGCCGACAGAGCAAAGCACTCCCGTCGTATCTATGCCTGAGGTCCCAGGTTCAAGTCCTGGTGCAGGGGAATTTTTTTTATTTTATATTTTGTAGTTAATTTTTTATTTATGGTTTTTAGGCAATTTAAAAAAAAACAAAATAATTAAATTAAGTTTTATTTTTGGCGTTGGCAATTCAAAGGCAAATGTAGCTGAACGATTTATTTCTTCGAAGTTGTCAAATTGGTAGGCACATACTAGTTAATGAGCCACTATTTTTTCTAACTGGTTTGGCTTTTCACTGCAGAGTAGATACACGCATGCTCGGTAGTAAACTGAAACTAAGCTGCTGCTCCTACAACATGCAACGTCATTTCAAGTGCACTTCAAAGTCAACGCAACAAAATTGAAATAAAAAAGCCAACTTAAATAAATAGAAATAAATAAATGAAGCTGAGGAAGCGAGTCCGAGTGTGTGCTCCACAGTATGCGACACAAACAACAGTTGCTATGCCATTACTACTCAAGTAGCACTCCCCTGCATAGACGAGTATGCAACAGTCGCAAAGTGGCTATTCAACATTTTTATACACACTTGTATAAATTTATATGTGCTTGTTAGAACATGCGTTTGTGTAGTATAATTTGATCAAAATTGCTTGCGCTTCAGTTTTTCTCCTTCTTCATGCTTTCTCTGTATGGTGTATACGCGTAAACATTCGCTGCCATTGCAGTGGCATGCAACGTGATACGTCGTTCAACAGTGCCCTTGATAACACTTGAAGCGATGTAGCATGCAACTATCGTTACAAGAATTGAAGCAAGGATAAAAATGGGTGAAAAATTTTAAAATAAAAAATGTATTTGGTCGAAAGCATATTGAAATCCTACAAAACGTCAACGGGAAGTGGCTTGAGGAGATCTGATAGCTTACTGCAACAATGTTAACGCCTAAGCTACGTACATACATACATATCAATGACTGAGTGGAAGATCGACCTATTTCGGCAGCCCTACTTCAGAATTTGGTTGAAGAATACATTGAAAATGTGCTGAGATAGGGCGTTTTTGAACCGAACTCTGAGACAGGGCGTTTTCAAGCAACTTGCAAAATAGGACGTTCTTCAACCAAATTCCGAAATAGGGCGTTGCTGAAAAAATTTTCTGAGATAGTTCTAAAAAACTAGCTGCCGAGATAGTTCGATCTTCCACTCAGCCATCGATGTATATAAAAATTATCGACCAGTGCTATTTGCTACCAGCATGTTGCCCCTCGAATCAAAATCGATGGAAATTTAAAAAAAAAATCAGAATAAAAATGTATCAAAGCCCTCTGTATGGCTATTTGCTA